CTCTATCAAATGATAACTATGATCATGATCTTCTTCTTGATGTGTCGTCGAATGGATCATTCTCTCAAGCATAGCTTCTTCATATGATGTGAAAGAAAGAGAAAGTTTATGAAATTCAATTGGTATTTTTTAGAATAGAGACTTATAAATATCTTTTAAAGATCTCTCTGAAGAGAAAAACTCTTTCACCTTTTTTAGCTTTGTCTGAGAAGAACATGGTCAAATGAGATTTTTCTGCACTAGAAATCTATTATATAGTGATTCACTTTGAAAGCTCCTAAGGCTGTCCACATCAGCAGTTGAGTGGGCCCCGCGCATGGAAAACAAAATGATATAAAATTATGTAAGATTGATTGTTATTGACGAAAGACGAAATGGCCCAGTGGTGTGATGACGAGAAGTTTGATCGACGAGAACACGGGTTCGAAACGCACGCAGTTCATGCTATTTTTTTGGTTTCATTGGGCCTTTTGGCCCGCGCATGGGAAACAAAAAGGTATAAAATTATGTAAGATTGTTTGTTATTGTTGAAAGATAAAATGGCCCAGTGGTGTGATGAGGAGAAGTTTGATCGACGAGAACACGGGTTCGAATAGCACGCGCAGTGCGTGCTATTTTTCTTGGTTTCATTGGGCCTTTTGGCCCGCGCATGGGAAACAAAAAGATATATAATTGTGTAAGATTGATTGTTATTGATGAAAGACAAAATGGCCCAGTGGTGTGATGACGAGAAGTTTGATCCACTAGAACACAGATTCGAAACGCAGCAGTGCATGCTATTTTTTTGGGTTTCATTGGGCCTCCACGGCCCGCGCATGGGAAACAAAAAGATATAAAATTATGTAAGATCGATTATCATTGATGAAAGACGAATTAGCCCAGTGGTGTGATGACGGGAAGTTTGATCCACAAGAACACAGGTTCGAAGCGCACGCAGTGCGCTCTTTTTTTTTTTGGTTTCATTGGGCCTTTTGGTTTGTATTTTGGGCTGCAGGGTTTTAATTGGGCTTTTTCGGTTTGATACCCAGGAGCCTAGGTTTTCTCAGATGTCGACTCCAGACGCTTCCCCTTCCGACAAGAAATTTCGAAGCGCACGCAGTGCGCTCTTTTTTTTTTTGGTTTCATTGGGCCTTTTGGTTTGTATTTTGGGCTGCAGGGTTTTAATTGGGCTTTTTCGGTTTGATACCCAGGAGCCTAGGTTTTCTCAGATGTCGACTCCAGACGCTTCCCCTTCCGACAAGAAATTTCACTTGCTATCTAGATCCTTCGATGCCCTTCAATGGTGTCCCTCGAATTTCATTATTATCGTAACCGTTCTTACTATCATCATACCGTATATAAGGGTGTAAGATGTTTTCCTTTCTTCGTTTCTCTCATTTCCTTTATCTCCAAATTTTTCCACTAAAAAGTCTTCCATAATGTCTTCATCAGGTTCTCAGATCCTCTCCGGCGCCGTCACCCCCTTCAACTCCCTCCGCCTTGGAAGAGCATCACAGAGCATTGTTGGCCGGCTCACACGTTTCTGGGACTCCCACAATGTTATCAAGAATCAGTTCCTGGGCATAACTGTTCTTCTCCTTGATCAAGCCGTATGTTTTATTTTTGTTTTCATTCTTTCGGTTTTTTAAATACGGTACTTGTGCCGTATGTATTTACTGGTGTATGATTGCTTTTTAAGATTAATGTTGAACTTGATTTGGCGTTTTATTGTTGTTTTGCTTCGGTTATTGATTTCTCTCTATAGCTTGATTCGGCGTTTCATTGTTGTTTTTCCTTTGGTTTGATTTGTCTAGATCTAAGACTTCATATTTGTGTTGTTAACAAATCTAAGACTTCATAGTTGTGTTGTTAACAACATGATCGTTTCATTTTTATTCCTAAATATATTTTTTTCACACAACTTGACGATTTCTTTTTGGCTTTAGGTTTGAGTGGGGTAAGTTCTAAAGTTCATACATCTACTTTACTCTGTTAGCTTTGACTGGGCTAAGTTCTAAAGTTCATACATCTACTTTACTCTGTTTTATTCTCCAGAATTAGTAATGGTTGATTATTTCAAGTACAAGGCTAATAGTGACTCACATGGGAGAAAAGGTTATTAAAACTGAGATGCTTACAAATACAACCAAGAGGGATCCCATACTCCTACCACGGATAATTCTATCACCACCAGAAACAAACCATCCGTTCACTTTGAAGCGCCGCCAGTTCCCAATCCGAGTATCTTATGCAATGACGGTAAATAAGAGTCAAGGACAGACTTTAACAAACGTCTCCCTATACTTGCCTAAACCAATCTTCAGTCACGGTCAGCTGTACGTAGCATTGTCAAGAGTCACAACACCAAAAGGCCTGAAGATCTTGGACATGAGCAGGAATGGAGATTGGAATAAAACCGTTGGGAATATCGTTTATAGAGAAGCTTACAATGGTCTCCCAAACTCAACGGGTATGTTCACTACCAAATCTAACTTTGTGATTTATAAATTAATCCTTTCATGTCTTTAATAAAATATACAAGCATATGTTCAATGTGTATACCGCCATTCATGAGCTGGGAATCCGTCACCTAATTCACGGATCATTTACCCTCCTCTCACACTTAGCTAATAACCTTAGAAAGAAATACTTCAAACAAATACAAGCTTACACTTACTGTGTTGCAGGTTCTCAAGCCACCGAAGAATCCGTCGATCAATAAGAACGACATCCTGCAGGAGCTACACGAGCTGTGGTAAGCATATCCCTCTTCAATTACTCTTTGCCACTACCTATGGTCCTCTAAATCACTCACTAACCCGCTAAACAATCCACAAGTTGCAGCCAAGCTTGGAGAAGCTACAAACCTCTTTCTACGGCGGAGAGAACGCGAGCTTTTCATACTTTCCTATTTTTTAAAGACTTAATAGTTTCCATATTTTTTTCCTCAAATTCTGCTATTAAAAATACTCAAGGCCAACAACTTTATAAGCTGAATTACTTAGAATCAACTTTGTGGTCTTTTCTTCGAGTTCATAAACATTGACTTAAGAAGATGGTCCTTTCACTAATTCGGGTTTTTAAATGAAGGCGTCAATCCTTAGCTATGATATATATACTATGCTCCTAAAAATATTTTATTTCTTACTTAATTATCTAAATTTCATAATTACTAAAATAGTTTCATAAAAAATTCAATACTAAAGGCATAGGATCAAAATATGCTTCATAAAATATTACCAAATATTAATACACTAAACATTAAACAATGTTATCCTCAAATCAATATGTTTGACTTCTAACCAAATGTTTACCATTACGAAATTTTAACTATATAAATAGCCAATTTTTAAAAGAGCCATTTATCACCAACAACAATTAACTAAATAACTAAACATTTAAAATTTTTACTAAAATTTAAAACTCAAATTAAAATCATAACAAAATATATTTTTACTTATTTCTGACCAAAAAAAATATATATATATATATATATATTTACTTAATAAATATATCAGTCACTAACCATCCCGTTATACATTTAAATCCATGTACATAAGAAACAAAACTACCTATACATACAAAAAAAAAAAAAAATATCGGATTTCTCCGGTCTTCTTATAGCAAACTAATTAAACCATATACCTTTTAATGTTTCATAATCTCAAACACAACAAAAAACTACAGAAAAATACGTAAATCATCGTCAACGTGCCCGGCTCCGCGCTTGCGCGGGGGCTATGAACCTAGTTATAATATAAAAAGAAGGATTTTTATATAAAGGCTCTTTTTGGTGGTCGTATCTGACACATATAAACGTCTTTCTTTTTCTTAGACCATCTTTAATGCATGAGATAATTGGCACGGTTTCATAGGTAGCTTTTGAAATTTTTTTTTGTTTGACAAAAAAAATATTAATTAAAAGGCAAACTAATCGCGGACCGCTATATGCCGGTGGAAGCCGTGAATAGTGCAAAAATACTCTAACTTGGTACTTATCTCACAGCTCTAAGAACCGATTTTTCTGAAAAATAATGGGACTTACCGGTTGGAACCCGCTAAGGACCCCCTGGTAAATTATGCCCTTACTATTTAACTTGGAGAACAAATTTCGTTTCCTTATTGAAATCTTTTTCTTGTGCTTAAAAGGTAAGATTCATGAGAACATATTTAATAGTATATGATACCATATGCATAAAATATTTAGTATGTTATTATTTTAATTATTAAGAATTTTTAAATATTATTTTATTACAGATTATTATAAGAACAAAATAAACGATCTCAGGTTTTATAGATATTCATATATAACTCGCTACTTTCTCCATGCAGCCATGCTCATCTTTGTAAAAAACAATGTTAATCTGTATAATTACTATTATCTGTATAATTACTACTATTATTTGTTTTAAGAGTTTTTGTGTACTTAAAAAGAAATCATGGGAACCTTATGGCTAACGTTGTGGGACCCCTACAAACAGTAAGAGTATATTTCACGAGAATAAAATAGTCAAAGTCGCCACTTTTTTTCTTCAACACACACAGACTCTCTCTCTCTCGCTACCAAGATATTTGTTTCTTTCCCGACGACGGTTACTCTCTCTGGAGCCGGTGAAAACGCCGACGATCTAGAAGAAAAAGAAGAAGAAAGAGGATCTTTCCTTCACTGTTCGCGATCCTGATCAGGTAATGCATTTCTTGCTGAACTTGGTTGATCGTGTTCACTGATTCTCTCCTCTCTACTCCACTCGCGTGTTTCGCCTTAGCTCTGCGTTCATGCTTCGATATCTAACAGAGAAAGATTACGCAGTGATCTTCTTACTTTCAGTGATCTCACTACACTGCTTAGAACGATACAATACACTTGCGATCGGAGAACACATTCATCGGATTTCTATCTTTGATGTTTTTAGAGATAACAGTAAAAGATTCTGATTTAGAAAGTTGTTATTTTGTTTTGATTTTGTGTAGAAATTGAAATCTTCTTACTGAAAGAATTCATTTTTAATGTTTTCACAGGAATGATGAATCGTTCACGTAAGCGATCAATTGTATACGCCGTTCGAGATTTCCCACTTGGCTGTGGAACTCACCCTCAGAGATCCTTCAAGACTCCAACAACTTGTGATGTACTTGTTGCTGTCAAGATTCCGAGTATTGATCACGATCTTGTTGCTGCTCCCAAACAAGAACCAGAGTCTAAAAAGTCTGATCCTCATGTTCTTGCTGCACTTCCTCAACCAAAAGGAACTTGTCTCAGGCAAGAGCCAGGGTTTAAACGCTCTGTTCATGATTGTGATGATGTTTCAGCTCCCACACGTAAGAGAACCTGTCTCAGACAAGAGCCATCTTTTAGAAACTCTCTCCATGATCGTGTTCTTACGGCTCCAAAGTTCAAAGAAGCAGCGTTTAGAAGCTCTCATCAACATGTTCTTGCTGGACCTCCTAAACCACAGGGAACTCGTCTCAAACAAGAGCCAGAGGTTAAAAACTCCGTTCGTGATCACACTATTGCAGCTCCTACACCTCAGAGAACCTGTCTCAAACAGGAGCCAGCGTATACAAACTCTCAGCAGGATCGTGTTCTTGCGGCTCCAAAGCTTAAAGGAGCTTGTTCCAAACAAGAAGAAGCGCTTAGAGGCTCTGATCAACATGATCCCACTTCTCGTGAGCAAGTGCTTGAGGTCTTGCATCACTTCAGAGAAGTGTTTAAACAGTTGGACCGAGATAAACAAGCGAGGCGCCTCGACGGAGACTTATTCGACGCTACAGCTAGAATAGACATCAGAACGCTAGCCGTGTTAGAGAAAATGGGGAAACAAGTCAACACAGAGAAGAGAATCGGATTGGTTCCTGGAGTCAACGTTGGAGACGAGTTTCAGTACAAAACAGAACTCCGTCTTGTCGGGCTTCATTTCAAGACCATGTGCGGGATCGATTACATGAACGTCGGAGATGTTAAGCTTGCCACAAGCATCGTTGCCTCAGAAGGATATGGTTACAGCGATACGTTTGGTGCTGGTGTTGTGGTTTATACAGGTGAAGGAGGTAACGTGGTGAGCAAGGAAAAGAAAACTGAAGATCAGAGATTGGTTAAAGGGAACCTGGCTTTGGCTAATAGTATGAGGAAGAGGAGCTTAGTGAGAGTGATACGTGGTGAAGAGAGATTGGATAAGAAAGGTAAACGGTATGTGTATGATGGATTGTATTTGGTTGATAAGTACTGGTTAGAGAAAGAGGTTAGAGGCACCACTGTTTACAAGTTTAAGCTTTGTAAAGTCCCAGGTCAATCTCTGTGTTGACTTGAGAAGAATTATTATCAGATGTATGAACTAAAAGTGATATTGTGCAATAAGATTTTTTTGGATCTTTATCAGTTCATACAAGAAATTTTCATCTTCAAAGCATTTTTTCTTTCCAATATTTTTCAAAGCGGTCGACTTTTTACTAACTTAAAATATAGTTATTTATTTTATAATTAAAAGAATCATTTGTCATGGAAAATAGAGAAAGTAAAGACTTCTTTAATAAAATAATAAATGTTAAATTGGTACTAGAAAAGAACAAATAGGCACATATAAAAGATTCGGTGCAAATATTAAAGCATTGTTTAATCAAGGATTCAAAGGCTTATGAATTAAATATAACTAGAATTTAACCCGCACGTCCGCACATATATATTTTTGTTTTTATAATTATATTTAAATTTTATGACAATCTGATAAAATATATTATTACAATTTGGTGTTTTATATTAAGTAACTTAATACTTTTCGATATTATTAATATATAATTATTTATAATTTATTCCAACATATATTAATATATATTTTTGTGTTATAATTTTTTATTTAAATTTAAAATATATATATATATATATATATATATATATAAGAATCAAAATATAATATTTTATCTATTTAACACGTTTCGTTAATTTTTTTAATGTTTTCTAATGACAATGGATTAGTTTTCTAAAATATTTCTCATTGATCTAAATTTATTTTAATGATTTTTTTATTTTAAATAAGTTAAACTTATTTTATTTTATTTACAAACATAAAATAGCAACTTTAAACTAAAAAATATATATAATTAAACAATATAATTTTGTACTTATTAAAATTTTTTTTTACTAAACTTAAATTTTGTTGTTCTAATTTTTTATATTTTTAATTTATAAATTAATAATATATGTTTTTATTTAAACATTAAATAGTATTTATTTATAATATTTAATAATAATTAAAAATTTAATGAATTATTTATAATTAATAAGCAAAATATTTTCTAAGATTTAGTTAAAGTAAAATAAAAAATATTCAAAAATAAACAGTGATATAGTAGAATATTCTTATGTGTGATAATATATTTTCTTCAAATGATCAAATATATAATATTAATTTTATGTATTAAAAATTCCTAATGAAATAGTCCAATGATTTTTTATCAGTATATAAAAATTGAAATCTGTTTTAATAGATTAGATTATACAGTATTCAGTTGATATGGATATAACACAGGCCAATCCTACAAAATAGCGCACCTTCCTAAATTTATGAACCAAAATAGCAATATCTATTTATTTATGTATCTATATTAGTATTTGGGAAGTGAATTTTCGCATTCGAGCCCTAATATTGAAAGTTAGAATGGTTAAAGTTGATGTTAACCTTGATGAATACAATATATAAGTTAGTCACAAAATAAAAAGCAATATTAATTTTTTGATTAGATAAATGATTAAAACTAATAAAATAAGAGTTATCCAAAATCTAAAAATATATTTTAATTAAAATAAAAAGATAATTCCAATATATATATATATATATATATATATATATATATATTCTTGTTGTTATCTGATTTTATTTTTAGTAAAAGGTTACAAATTAAAAAAGAAGAAAACACATAACTATATATTAATCAAGTAAACTTTTTAATTTTAAATAATTGAAAAGAGAACATTCAGTGATTTTAAGATTTATTTCTATATAATGTATGAAGTAACTTAAAAAAACATAATAAGTAAAAAAATTCAAATGAAAACATAAATAATAATATATCATTATAACTTTTACTATTAATAAGTAATTATAAAATATATATGTCTCCCTTCGCAGACAAAACACCTAGTTTTATAAGAAAACAAAAAATAATTGTTCAATGTATCTTTAATTGATATTTTTTGAATAATTGAAAATTACACTCCATTGTACATGGTTGGATATCTTATATCAAAATCAATACACATATACTTTTTCCTTTTTACTAGGATTATAATTTTTATAAAGTTAATTGCAAGTTATTATATTAGTCATTTTTTTTGTAAACCAACCACTGCATACATGTGTATTTATTACATTAAATGATGATATAGAACTTGAGATTCAATAAATAAATGTTTAGTGTATCTTTAATTGATATTTGTTTTTAAATAATTGGAAATTATTCTCCATTGTACATGGTTTGATATCTTTATCATATCAACAAACATATAATTTTCTTTTTTTACTAGGATTATAATTTATATAAATTTAATTGCGAATCAGTATATTAGTAAAAAAATTTCTGTAAATCCACCACTGCATACATTTATATTTATTACATTAAATGATGATATAGAACTTGAGATATAAAAACTATGAATACTATTTTTTTTTTTAATTTCATTTACAAAATGGTCAACACAATTACATAAAATTCATGAGAACATATTTGATAGTATTATGATACCATATGCATAAAATATTTAGTAATTATTATTTTTAACAATTAAGATTTTTTAAATATTATTTTTTACAGATTATTACAAAAATAAAATAAATGATTTTATTATAGATAATTTACAGGTTTTATAAACATTCATATATAACTCGCTACTTTCTCCATGCAGCCATGCTTATCTTTTATAAAAAACAATATAATTACTATTATTTGTTTTAATTGTTTTTTGTACTTAAAAAGAAATGATGGGAACCTTAGAGCACCTCAAATTAGGTATCTACCTATTGAAGTTCTAAAAAGCTATATATGTGTATGTATGTGTTATATATGTGTATATAGATGTGAGATCCATTACATAGTGTAGAACCAGTTCTAAAAACAAAATTTTTTGGAACCGGTTCTACTCTATTTAGTGGACTCCATATCTATATATACATATATAACATATACATACACATATATACTATTTTAGAACCCCAATAGATAGATACCTCATTGGAGATGATCTTATTGTTAACATTGTGGGACCCCTACAAACAGAAAGAATATTTTTTAAGAGAATATTAAAATAGTTAAAGTCCTCACTTTTTTTTCTTCAACACACATTCTCTCTCGGTACCAGTCACAAAATACAAATGAATACTATTATTTTTTTTTAGATAAATGATTAAACCTAATCTAAAAATATATATTTTAAATAAAATAAAAAGATAATTCCAATATATATATATTATTGTTGTTAGCTATTTTCTTTTTTTAATAAAAGGTTACAAATTACAAAAAGAAGAAACTACATAACTATATACAATCAAGTAACGTTTTTTTTTTAATTTTATACAATTGAAAAGAGAACAGTCAGTGATATTTAAGATTTATTTCTATATAATGAATATAGTGTATGAAGTAACTTAAAAAACATAACAAATAAAAATTTCAAATAAAAATATAAATAATAATTTATTATTATAATTTTTAATAGTAATGCATGTATTAATAAATAATTATAAAATATATATGTCTCCATTCGTGGACAAAACCGTCAAAACATATAGTTTTATAAGAAAACGAAATATAATTGTTCAGTGTATCTTTAATTGATATTTTTTGAATAATTGAGAATTATACTACATTATACGTGGTTGGATATATTATATCAAAATTAACACACATATATTTGTTCCTTTTTACTAGGATTATAATTTTTATAAATTTAATTGCAAATTATTATATTAGTTATTTTTTTGTAAATCAACCACTACATACATTTATATTTATTACACTAAATGATGATATAGAACTTGAGATTCAAAAAAATAAATGTTTAGTGTATCTTAATTTTTTTTTAATTAATTGGGAATTATTCTCCATTTTTACGGGGTTGGATATCTTATACTATAATCAACAAATATATACTTTTTCTAGGATTCTAATTCTTATAAATTTAATTGCAAATCATTATATTAGTAAATTGTTTTTTTTTTGTAAATCCACCACTGCATTTATATTTATTACATTAAATGATGATATAGAACTTGAGATATAAAAACTAGGAGTACTATTTTTTAAATTTCATTTACAAATGGTCAACACAATTACATAAAATTCATGAAAACATATTTGATAGTATTATGATACCATATGCATAAAATATTTAGTAATTATTATTTTAATTATTAAGAATTTTTAAATATTATTTTATTACAGATTATTATAAGAATAAAATAAATGATTTTATAACAGATAATTTACAGGTTTTATAAATATTGATATATAACTCGCTCTTATAAAAAAACAATATAATTATTATATTATGTTTTAACTGTTTTTTGTAACTAAAAAAGAAATCATCGGAACCTTATGGTTTACGTTGTGGGAACCGTACAAACATAAAAAGTATATTTCAAGAGAATATTAAAATAGTCAAAGTCCCCATTTTTTTTCAACACACACACTCTCTCTTTCTTGCTACCAGTCACAAAATAAAAAACGAATATTTTTATCTTTTATTTGATAAATGATTAAAACTAATAAAATACGAATTGTCCAAAATCTAAAAATAAATTTCTTAAAAAATAAAAAGAGAATTCTAATATATAAATATATTATTGTTGTTATCTATTTTTTTAACAAAAGTTTACAAATTAAAAAGAAATAAATACATAACTATATTATAATCAAGTAACTTTTTTAATTTTATACAATTGAAAAGAGAACATTCAGTGATTTTTAAGATTTATTTCTATATATATGAAGTAACTTAAAAAAACATAACAAGTAAAAAAATTCAAATGAAAACATAAATAATAATTTATCATTGTAATTTTTAATAGTAAGGCATGTATTAATAAATAGTTATAAAATATATATGTCTCCATTCGCGGACAAAACACCTAGTTTTATAAGAAAACAAAAATTAAATTTTCAGTGTATCTGTAATTGATATTTTTTGAATAATTGAAAAATATACTCCATTATACATGGTTAGATACCTTATATCAAAATCCACACACATATAATTTTCCTCTTTACTAGGATTATAATTGTTATAAAGTTAATTGCAAATTATTATATTAGTCAATTTTTTTTTGTAAATCCACCACTACATACATTTATATTTATTACATTAAATGATGATAGAGACCTTGAGATTAAAATAACAAAAATTTTAGTGTATCTTTAAATGATATATTTTTTTAATAATTGGAAATTAATCTCCATTGTATGTGGTTGGATATCTTATATCAAAATCAACACACATATACTTTTCCTTTTTACTAGGATTATAATTTTTATAAAGTTAATTGCAATCATTATATTACTAAATTTGTTTCTGTAAATCCACCACTGCATACATTTATATTTACTACATTAAATGATGATATAGAACTTGAGATATAAAAACTAGGATTACTATTTTTTAAAAATTTCATTTACACAATGGTCAACACAATTACATAAAATAGATTATAAACATTAATATCAGAATCCATGCATATCCCTAAGATAGACCTTTATTTAATGTACATAGGATTACATTTTAATATAAATAGAGATGATTAACTTCTCAAACTCTTCACTAATTCTCTACAAGAATATGAATCCTTCTCAAAATCGACAAGAGTTTAGAAACTCGCATCAAGATCATGTTCCTACACCTCGTGAGAAAGTGCAAGAGGTATTGCGTGCTTTTAAAGAAGTGTTCACACAGTTGGACCATGACAAACAAGCTAGGCGCGGTGGTGATTTATACGAGGCGACAGCTAGAATAGACCTGAACACACAAGCTTTCTTAGAGCGAGAGGGGAAAAACGTGAACACACCGAACAGAATAGGACATGTTCCAGGAATCAACGTTGGGGATGAGTTTCAGTACAAAGCCGAACTTCGTGTTGTTGGGCTTCATTTCAGGATCATGTCTGGGATCGACTATGTGGAGATAGATGGTGTGAAGTTCGCAACAAGCATCGTGTCATCGAAAAAATATGATTATGATGATAAGTTTGATGCTGATGTTTTGATATATACTGGTGAAGGAGGAAACATGATAAACAAGGAAAAGAAAGCTGAAGATCAGAAGATGATAAAGGGCAATTTAGCATTAGCTAATAGCATGATACATAAGAGGGAAGTGAGAGTGATACGTGGCGGCGAGAGCTGGGATGGAAAAGGAAAGCATTATGTGTATGAAGGATTGTTTTTAGTTGATAATTATTGGTTAGAGAAAGGAGTTAGTGGTAAGAATGTTTACAAGTTTAAGCTTTGTAGAATTCCTGGTTAACCTCCGGTGACTTGAGAACAAAATCATACAAAACCATTAATCAAATAAATGAATAAACTATTATTATATAATAATTTTTGAGTCAAATGCTCAGATGCCATTTTACAAAAAAAATTAAATCACTTATACATTTTACTAATCTTTATACCCTTTATCATTTAATGAAAATCCCAAATCAAATCTTTTCCAAGCGATCAAAACTAAACAAAACCCCCCCTATGGATCGGTGAACCAATGGGCAAATATTTAAGTTCTATACCTTTCAAATTCGAAAAAAAATATTTTAAAATCGTTTTTAATCATATTTTGATGATTTTCGCAAAAATATGAAATTCTATAAATCAAATAAAAAATATTGACGTTTCCAGTTTAATTTTATGATTTTTTCGTTTTTCATATAAAATTTAAAAGTAAGGACATTTTAGCTTTAAATTTTATATATAAGGGCACTAGAGACGGTTACTCATAATTTTGAATGAAAAAATTGAATGAAAAGGTTATTTTTAAAAGGGTATAAAATGAAGTACATTTTCTATCGAATACAGAGGAAAGCTTTATATGTATGATGGGAGGTCACGGATGTGATCTCTTATATATTAAAAGAGAAGTATTTTGCATTAAATGTTTTCACACCACCTTCTCACAAATTATTACCTTATTTACTACCTTCTCACAATTTATTACCTTATTTATTATCTTCTCACAATATATTACCTTATTTACTTCAATTATAAAACACACGAGATACTTTAAAACTACAAAGTTTAATATCGCGTGAGACAAGTTTGAAGGCAAGTGAATTGGCTTAAGGGTCGATGTCAAAGTTCTGGAACGTCGTTATTTGGGAGGTGGGACGTATCTAAGATGATGGATGTGAAGGGCAACGTACCGGAGCCCATGAACGCGATCTTGGTTTAGACATGGCTCGTGTGTAGCGTGAAGAGATAGAACTCAAACTTGCTAAGTTTGAGGTAGTTAGTGTACTGAGGATAGATCTAAATGGTGAAGTGTGTTGTCTTCGAGAGATCCCAAGGCCGTATAGTAGTGGTGCTCTGAAAACTCTATATCTTCACTACGTAGGTTGGTGAGATTGGTTCTATAGTTTTGGACTTTTGGGCACAAGTTTTTAACGTCGATATTTGTATCCATAGGCAAGGACGTGGACATGAGCTATTGAACAAATTGTCGACATATATATGTGAAAGGTTTAAGGCTCTTGAGATTGGAGATTTCATTATACAAGTCGAGAATTTGCTTCTCGAAATGAGCCTTTTGGCAACCCATCTCGAGACTAGAAGGAGATTTGGGATTGGCTCAATACTCTTAATGGTGTTCACAGTAATATACTTTCATCTTACGTGTGTCCATGTCGTGTGGATGACAAAAAAAAAACAGATATATGTTCGAAAAGTTATACGTATGAAAAAACGTTTAGTGAGGGTAGATCTAAATGGTGAAGTGTGTTGTCTTCGAGAGATCCCAAGGCCGTTTAGTAGTGGTGCTCTGAAAATTCTATATCTTCACTACGTAGGTTGGTGAGATTGGTTCTGATGTTTTGGACTTTTGGGCACAAGTTTTCAACGTCGATATTTGTATCCATAGGCAAGGACGTGGACATGAGATATTGAACAAATTGTAGACATATATATGTGAAAGGTTTAAGGCTCTTGAGATTGGAGATTTCGTTATACAAGTCGAGAATTTGCTTCTCGAAATGAGCCTTTTCGCAACCCATCTCGAGACTAAAAGGAGATTTGGGATTGTCTCAATATTCTTAATGGTGTTCACAGTAATATACTTTCATCTTACGTGTGTCCATGTCGTATGGATGACCAAAAAACAGATATATGAGACAAAAGTTATACGTATGAAAAAACGTTTATCAACCGGAATAAAGTTATACGTATGAAAAAACGTTTATCAACCGGCTTTTGTTCATGATCTTTGGTCTCACTTATGTTACAAACATGGAAGGTGTTCTGAAATTCTGTTTGATACTGACATCCCAGAGATTCAGTTCTTCAAATCGCAGTAAGCACATTATACTTAGTTGGTTGTATAAAGCTGTGTAGTATATACACTAAAAACTTTGTTCTTCCTCATATATTGAAATTCATGTCTTTGCAGGATTCCAATCATCGATTTCTGAAGTTTTGAAGTTATTTTATCTAATTATTGATTGTATTTTTTATAAAATACCTATTTATATTTAGACCATTATTTGTTTTTGGAAGAATGAGATTATGCATCTTTATTATAATGGAATTGAGTTTATTTTATTTATATTAGATTTCTCATCTTCCTTAACCTAGAGACTTACCATAGTGAGGGCCTCTCCAAAAACACATTCGTATTTAATTTTAGTCTTTGTGTTATCACCATAAAATCAAAATCGCAATTTAACTAAAAAGACAATATTTATAATATAGATATATAATTGGATGATATTAAAACCTGAAACAACCAATCCAAAACAAACTAATATGCAAATAAAACAAATATAATGTATTCTTATCTTAAAAAATACAACAAATTTAATCATTTCATCCCGCGCAAGGCGCGGATCTAATCCTAGTTATATATTAAGTTTAAACTTACGAGGCTTCCTGGTCAGACATTATTTTAAGATAAAACTTTATTAAGTGTGGAAATAGTATGACTGATAGGTTAGGTCTATGGCCGGGCCTGGACCAAGCCCAATAAAACATTGATTTCAAGCCTCCATTTTTTATAGGCTCCCAAATAAAATAAAAGGATAAATTGCATAAAAACATTAAAGTTGGTAAAATTTTGTACTTTAAACCTTGAGACTCAACTGCTAACACTTTAAACAATGAAATTTGCAACAATAACATATTAAACATCAAACTAACTTACCTGTTGCACACATCAAAATTATGACCGGTTATTGTGCATTAGCAGGTAAAAAGCGGTGACGTGACGGTTTACTTAAAACACACAAAAAGTTAATTAATAAAAACAAAACAAATTAAGTAAAAAATCAATATAAATTCTAAAAATAGATATAATTTCAGGAAAAATAAATAAAAATAAGAAATTAAAACATATAAAAATAAATTTATAAATTTAAAAGTTAATAATAAAAATAAATTAAATAGTAAAAAATTATAAAAACAACAAAAACAAAAAAAAAAATAGAGATTAAAAAGTGTAAAACTGATAAAAATTAGAAAATAGGAAATTATAAAAATTTGGAAAACAAAAAAAAACTTCAAAAAAATAAATTCAAAAGATCGATAAAAATTAGGAAAACTTAATACAATCAGGAAAAAATAAAAATTAAAAAAAATAAAATACTGAATTCAAATTAATAAAGATAAAACTATACATTTATAAATTCAAAAAATAATAATAACAAAAAAATAAATCATAAAAATTAAGAAAAAAAAATCTGGAAACAAAGAAAACCATGAAAGTGGCAAAACTAGCAAAACCCATGAAGTTGGAAATTTTTTTGAATCCAAATCTATATGATCTGAAGGATCTGAACCCGGACATCCGAACGTTTATATGTCTACCTAAACATCAAAAAAGTTTGGGTCAAGTATCGGTCAACAAAGAGGTGTTGATGTCGATCGATGCGGAACATAAGTCTTTACGGATGCTACGTTCCAAACTGTGAGGGTCTTCTAAGTACACAAGTTGGTTGTTCTTGTTGTTTCTAGTACTGCTGGGCATGTACCTGAAAAAGACAAGATTTTTTTTTTTTTTGCGTCAGAAGATGATTAAGCAATAAAAGAAAAATAACCTAGACCTAATCAGATTAAATCTAATGGCTATCAAAGTTCCCCGGCAACGGCGCCTAATTTGATATCACTCAAATATTTAACCCTAAGGAGTGAATTACTCTCTCAAATAAGAGGTTCAGTTGTAGTACTTAGGGATCTAATCCACAGGGAACTGAGGAACACAAAATATGTAATCCTAAGTGATTATGCTAGGTTGATTCAGTTTAAAATAGTAAATTGCAGTTGTGAGCAATGATAAGTTGCTCAAGAGAATAGGTTTAGGTTTAAGACAATAAAAGAAAGTAGTTAGATTCAAGGTTGCTATTCAGATAAGCAGGATTATAATGCTACAGATGTTTTAGTAAGTTGCTTGCAAGATATATAAGAACTTTGATTCTTAAACAGATCTAATAGTTGTCGCTATATAGACTCGCCCATTGATCTGACTGCCGGCAATATCGACCGATGTTTTGACAGCAATATCGGACGATATGGGTTGCCGTCGATCGATTACTCTATAGGAGTATCAATAGATATAACATAAGATCGAATCGAAACTGTGTTCACCAAGATCATAGACCGGCACTCGCACATCCCTAGAGGATCTAAGCTTATGCCAAATGATATAAGGATAATGATTAACAAGTTAAATCACTCAGTGATCATACTCTAGTTAGCTACTCTAGAGTAAGCATTAGGGTTCATCTGGATAATGAATATCACAACTTGACATTCCATAGTTGGGGCTAATCCCTCATAACTATTTAAACCCTAAATCTAACAAGTGAATCTACTCAGACATGGCTAAGTGATTCATAGCAGCAATGTAATAATAGATATTCATAAGATTAGAAGATTGAACTCTTGATTCTTTGGAACAACAAATCTCTTTGTGTGTTTCTTCTAAATCTAGAACCCTATAACCTTTGAGAATCAAGATGAAATAATACTTTATTGCTAAGTATAAAATAGTATCAAAAGCAAAGAAAAACACAAAAGAACATGCATTGCGAAAACACATAGGCATAACTATAAATATGAGTTCAGTTAGGTTAAAAACTCGTCAGGGGCAATCTTGTAATATTGGGAAACTTGGGCTTCAAGTCGGCCAAGTCAGACTTGTTCTTCACGCTTCATATCGATCGATGGTACATGACGTACATCGGTCGATGGAGTATCTCGACTTCATCTTCTATGGAAGCGTCATCGATCGATTACACATGATGTGTATCGATTGATATGTATCTCTGG